GGCAGCCTGTGTCCCGGCGGGGGGCGCAATCAGCGGCGCTGCGTTAATTGCGCTAATTTCAGTTCATCTGCGGTGCCCAGACCGCGGTACCCATCGCCGGCACACGCCTACTCAGCTGTCCCTGCTACAGGTGCCCCACGGAGAGCCTCTTCTCCCGCGGTAGCGCCCCTGCGGCAGTTTAATGCGCTCTCTCCGACTGACGAATCCTCATGCTAAAAGCTTTCTTTATCATCGATCATACAATTTTGTACTTTGTTCTATTAAGCTTATCTTGGCTGTCGCGTAGGATCATCCTGCCCTCTGCACCGACACCACTGGCTTTGTAGTGCTCCCGAATTTCCTCCCCGCACACCGAGTGAATCCACGTGGGAACAGAGGAGGGAATGTTCCGGGGGAAGATGAGAGTCAAGACAACCTGCGGAACAACGCGAGTATCCCCTCCAACAACCTGATAACACAGCCTTTAATGTAAAAAAGAAAGAAAAAAAAGAGCACCCCGCTCGCCCAGCCTGCTCCACAACCCCCTTTGAATTCCCACAGGAATCCCCCTCATTTCTACATTCAGAAATGTGTTTTGAGTTAAGGCTTCAGTTAATTAAATCCGCTATATTGCCCCTGTTAAGGAAATTAGTTTTCTCATCAAGAGAGCGATTTATCTAACAGAACGTACTTCTGAGAAAACCCTGGTGTAATTTACCACACTTTCCAGTCACCTCTTTGTTCTTCATTTTTTCCCCTCGGAATTTGTTCTAAAGCTTTCCCCGTGGCTGGCAGCAGACCTGCAGGGCTGCACGGCTTCCATCCGCTTTTCTCTCTTTTTGAGTAAAGGCACCACATTTGCCATTCTCCTGCCCAAATCCCTGACAATTTAGACATCAGCTACAAATCCTTAGACCAGATGTGTAATTCCATATTTAGTTCTTTCAGTATTTTAAGATGGAAATGATGACCTACAACCTCTGATTTTCTCAAAGAATTTGTTCAGTAACGAGGTGGCAGCTGTCTTAACCTCTCCTCTACCCACTTACAGTCTACACGGTCACTGTTCTCTTCTTCTTCAGGCTACTAAACTCTTTTAGAGCAAAACCTGAACTTTTTGGCACTTGTTTTGATTTTCTGTGTGTGGTCCAGCTTAACCAAGCGTTTGGATAGTCCCTGCTGTAGCAAAAGTGCTTTGCAGATACCATAACACACGTTGGCCTGAGCTGCATGTAACTCTAAACACGAAATCTCAGACATCTGACTTTGATTGGGAAATCCACAGGCTACGTTTTACATGTATAGTAAAACATACAGTCAATGGAAAGAGAAATGCCCCTTCCGCGGCGTTCCAGGAAGGGATTCAGGACACGTACACTCGATGTTTTGAGGATTTGGAAGAGGAAGATGTGAATGCCCGCTTGCTTTCTCCTCTTTCCCCACACTGCATAGAGCTGAGAAGCCAACATTTTTGCCAGCAATACGTTTTACAAACAGTAAGATTTAAAAATCATTCTTGTGAGCTAAATTTCTACCTGATTGAACTCACAGAATCTCCTCTCCTAAAATCTCAAAACTGCTCATGATCTAGATGGGAGGCACAGCACATCCACGATACGTTTTTCCTGCGCGTGGGTATCTGAAGCAGGAAGGCACTCTCTCCAACAGACAGCAATGGAACACCATAAAAGCGAGCAGACGTTTTCAGATAAAGCCTCTGTAAATAAAGTTAAGACTATTTTTTTTGTTCAACAGCCAGTTTTTCTGCGTTCTAAGATCCACAGGGATTATCTTCAAAATTCTTTTGTTTCATGGGCTTCCAGGGGAGACTTAGTCATATAAACATGAGCTCATTTGAGGTAAGAGATTCCCAAATACAGCTCTTTAAAACAAAAATAATCATGCGACCTCTTGTGATTCTTATAATGTATTTTTTGCACTGGTGGTTGGAATGGTAGCTCCCCATTTGAAAGTGCCAGCTGGAGTTAGATAGAACTGGCATAAGGTACCTTGTGCCCTTTTCGGAAATCGACACTACAGATGTTATTCAAAATAACTGTTGAATCTAAAGTTGAGCTTCAGCCAATTTTACAAAGTAAAGAAAGACCTCTCTGGATGTGCAGCCTCACGGGGCTCCACAGCAACTACAACAGCGGCAAGTAGCCTCATTTAAGAGAGCGGTTTAGGAGGATGTGGGATTATCCTAAGTGATATCTGTATCTTTACATTTCATTCTGACCATGAGCCGTCTCCTGCTAATACACATGACACACAACTCTTTGAAAAAGCAGCAAGCTTCTGCGAAGTTCTGAAAGCTGTGATTTTATCTGTGTGTGTAACTAGGCTATTTGAAACCACTGTCAAAGACTGCGGCACTAAGGAAGGCAGATAAGAAAACCAAGTGCTAGCAGCTGTAGGGTAATTTAAATAAGGCTTTTTCTCAAAAACATAACTTTTTGGGTGCTCAAAGAAAGGAAGGTAGTGCTGACTCACCAGTGCCATGGAGACTCCGGGCATCAGGAAACACACCATTACAAAGAGCTGTAGTCTGAAGACTGGAGTAAGACTGACACCAGCTAAGATGGCACCGGCTTTGTCATTCATCCAATAAATAGCTAAAAAACATAAGAAACAATATGAACTCAGGAAACAAATGCCAGTTTTTATAACAATTTACCTATTGCAGAAAACCCCAAAGGACCACATGTCCCGATTTCACAAAAATCCTATGTGATTTTCCTATGAGAAAAAGCTCTTAAAAAATTACACATGGTAGAAAATGCTTAATTGTACTGCCCTGTAAAAAAACACGACTGGAAAATGCAGTTTATATTTCCACTGTTGAACGTGAAACTGTGCACAGACTACAGTGTGCGTTCAAAAATTATATTCTAATCCAGAAAATCGAAGTTGCGCAAGTTACTTTCCCCACTGTTCATTTCAAAACCTTGCTTAAGCTTGTAATATAGGCAAGCCCTGGAGGTATGTGGGAAGACAGCTACAAAGCAGTCGTAAACAGTAATGAGCCAAACCTCCTGAAGATCTAACATTTCAAACTACTGTTAAACTAGTGTGTGTAAAATAAAGGTGTAACCTTTTTTTTTTATTATTATTATTGTCAGACTTATTTATATCTGGGCAGGTTACACATGGTTTTGCTTATCAGTGACAGATATCCAAGAAGATGTGATAATCCACGACCTAAAAAGGGAACCCAAACCCATCCCCTGGCAGCTGAGTGCCCTGGCTTCTGACCTCCCTGCTGATCTGAAACAGGTTTGTGGGCCTGAAGGCTGCCCCGTTTTGTCATTTATTGTAGGAAAACACAGCAACCCTCCCTACCTTGACGGTATCTTGGACTGTCACATACCGTACTTGTAGGTAAAAAGATAAATCTTACAACACGTGCTAAATCTAATCATATCAGATTTGGGCTTTGTATCAAAAATGCTGCAGCCCAGCACGCGCAGAGGAGTTAGACCAAGCTTTTTCAGAAAAATGGAAATTAAACAGCTGATAACAGAGGAAAAAGAGAGAGCTGCTCCAGAGGTTGGCCATGCAGAGCTCTGTAACTAGTGATTAATATCCTGGCTGTCATCCAGATTGCCGTGTGTAGTTATTGCAGCACCAACTGCAGCTTACACAGTTCTCACCGGCAGCGGCAGGTTTTGCTGTAGCTGGAGGTTTTCGGTAGCTTTCACGGTGAGTTTCAAACAGGTCAGGATGCAGCAATTTTCTTTGATTGCTGTCCTATCAGAAAGTTCAAAGGACTAACGGGCCAAAGAATCAGGATTAGGCAATACTTTTAAAAAGAAACAGTACATGCAACTGATCATCCTCAGACTTCACAAGAGATCCTATTATTTTTACTGGGGACTGCTCAGAGAGAGTCGTATTTTATAAAAGCTTTCCCTTCTCTTCACCATTTTTCCAGCTAAGTACTGGGAGATGGTGAAAGTGTATTAAGGACTGGTATTGTCCTATAAGCAAGCTGGTTTTTTGTTATATTCAGTAAGAACTCTCTGCTGCCTGTGATAAGCTGCCACATTTACACATTAACGCCTTCCCAGAAACCCCAGGAAAACCTATTTTTGTTACTTTTGGTCAGACGCTGCAGCTCTGTACTGGGACACCTGCATTTTACATGAGTTTGTGCACACATACAGTGGTCCTTTCCTACATTTATCCACATAAGCTGTATACAACGTCATGATACTATCTTGCAGTGGCTAAAGTAAATTAAGGCAACCGCTAGAGCGTGCTCACTTGATGTAAATCAGCAGAGCCCTAACGAAGTGAGTAGAGCTGTGTTTGTACACACCACTTTTAAGATCTCTCTCTGCAGCTCTGGAACAACAGTCAGATTTAGACAATTACCCTACCACTGTCATTGAAACCAAAGTGGATTGTCTTTTCCCCCCAGGGGTTTCCCAGCTCTCTTTGTCCTGTGGGGTAGTGCCTGCCTTGCCTTTGACTAAGCTGCACACCCCGTGTCACGGCTCTTAGTCATCACCTGCTTCCCCCCCGCTCAGATGTCTCAGTTGTCCCATCCCCCGCCTTAAAATTTTATCATAACTGAATGTGGAAATATGGGCAGGGTGTAGTGAGTGCGTAGCGAGGTCTGTCGGCACAGATTGCAAGTAAAGCTGTTTAAAGTATGACAAAACTTTTAATTGCCACCAAGTGAAAAAGTGGCCATTTGCAGCGCAATTTTTCTCGTTATTACAAATGCAGTTACTTATTTGTAAGTGTACAGGAACATACGGTGAGCAAGTGGTTGCACCATTAGAGGGTGCTGGAGTCCACACAATGCTAACCTGCAGTCCAGTCCCTCCTGCTCAAGAGCTGCTCGTTCTCCATGGGGACAGGAGAGTGGCCCAGGCGAGTGTCCGTGCTGGTGACTGCAGAAACGTAAATCACTGGGGATGAAAAATCACCATCTTGGCTTGTCCCACTTCTAGCCTTGCCCAAATATTGTTCAAGATACTTCCCCACAAGTATTGTCTTCACATACTCAAGAGAGACTGGAACTCAATCAAATGCACTTATAGTACTGATTTAGGTAAAAAGTCACATCAAATACCATAAATGTGACACTTTCTATTTTCTGAGTTCTTCATTTTTCACCTAAACCCCATCCTTTTAATTAGAGAGTTGATACATACCTTTCCATATCTTTTAAAGGCAAAACGGTAAAACAAATTTCATTCTATATACCGACAGCGAACCTGCTTCCCCAACCCTCTTCCTCTCCTGCAATTATCAAGTGAATCCTGAACTTTTTTGTCCCGGACATTTGCTATTTAACACTGGACTAACTACATTAGTTGGCAATAACTAAGTCTACTAACCTAACGGACGGGCCTTTTTTTTCTTTTAAAGCAGAGGGGCCCTCCTCCTATAGCACCCCTAGAGAAGAACAGATAGGGAGAGAAACATGCTACATCCAGCGAGAAGCTTCTGTGATGTCTTATATCTCTGTAGCAAACAGCGTCCTTTCCCATGTGGCAGCCTCAAAAGAGAGGATGGGGCACTGGGGACAAACCTTGGGTCAGAACCTGTTGCCACCGTGGTTAAAGCAACCCCGGGTGCAGCGTGTGCTGCTGCTTCTTTGGTGCTACACAAACCTCCGTCTTCGAAATGTGCACGCACACAATAGTTGCAGCACAGAAAATTTCACCAGGGGAACACAAATAAGAGAAAACGCTGCTTTTCAGTCATTTAAGTCAGCTAAGCATCAGTGTAGTTCTCTAAAACAAAACAGAAGCATTTCCCAAGCCAAAAGGCTTCATCAACCCAGAGCCCTGCTGCAAACAGTGAACATGCTCAGAGGGATTCCAAAGAGCATCCCATGGCCTTTTCTAAGGGACTGGCCCCCGTGCTCCTGGCCAGCAGCCCTGCGCATCTGAGCCCAGTTCTGTCCTCTGACATCCAAAGAGAAGTGGGAACAATGTCTGACAGAACAGATCTCTGATGAAAGTGTGGTCTTTTTGACCTCCAGTTCTTCCGTGGATCTTGTTCTTACGCTTATGTGAGTACTGTAGCAGGATACAGTTTCTGGTTCCTAAAATAGCTGTACTCTGTGATTACTTTTTAAAAAAATCCGTGTCTTTTTCAATCAATCTCCAGTATCCTTTTTTCCCTCACACTACTGAACTTTGAAACCAGATAACCACGCTTCTAGCCAATTCATTATTTCCTTATCTTTTAAAACAACATATTGTGGAGCTTTGAGTCCTCTGACCATGGTGAAGCTTTGGCAAATATTAGTTTTTTTAATTTAAGTCTATGCCATCTTTCAAGAATGAGACGTACACAATTATGTGATTCTTTAGAGTTTTGTTTTAAACCAGAAAAATAAGTATGTAGTTTCAGAGATGCACAGAAGAGAATGAAATCACCAGATTTTGCAAACTGATTTTCTGCAAATCAATTTACTTGATTTTCTTTGTACCTGGTGGACATGATTTCAGAGCTGAAGAGCAGTGCTGAGTGTAGGCAGGCAGCATATGCCATGTGTAATTTTTTAATTTCCTGGTTGCAGCAATTCTTACAGGCACAATAGCAGGTTTGTTTGTTTTTTGTTCTTCATCAGACCTTTTATTAACATTCTGGTACATCTCTTGACTGCACCTGGTTTGTTAGTGACTGAGTATAATGGCATCTTTGCCCTGGGCTCTTGGAGACGGTGCATATGGATGGGAAAAGCAACAGATAATATGGATGCAAATTTCAAATCACTGGTTTCATCCCTGAGGCATTCAAAGAGGACAAATTTCAAGGAAATAGGGAGAACAGCATGACTGTGCTTTTAGTTCCTACTGAAGGTATAGACTTGAAAATGCTGTTCATGGTCCTTGAAGTATTTTCCTTTGCAAAATAACAGAACATAAACTTATTTCAATCAGAAGTACCTGTGGTCTCTTCATGAAAGCTTAGTCCCATGGCAGATCATCAAGAGCACTATATTTACCAGCCAGTGCTTGACGAAGAGCCTGTCCCTTGCACAGGATCAAGATACCAGAAACCCAACATAATGGTCTTTCTGATGAGCACCCACTAATGATCGCTGGCACAGAATACACGCTGATTTGGACTAATCACTGCACGGATCCATCTTTAATGCACCGAGAGGGAGGCATTTTCAACATTCGCGTCAATGTTCTATTGCCTACAGAAAAAGCAACTGTCTTTTTCTATTTATGTAATTTTGTTTATCTTACTGGAGGTTTTTTTTTTTCTTTGTTTCTTTTAAATGGTTTCATACTGATAAAACCCCTACATATTCCACAGAACAGACCTGGTGTGACCCCAGGAGTGCACTGGTATTCAGCCTTTGAAAGTAAAATACAACCTGAACCTTCTGAGCTGGAAAGATTTATCAGGTTTTGCACTTCCTAAGACAGGGAGTCCTCTTGAGCAGCAGCAGTGTACATACTTCTTTAGCTAACTGCCTCAAATCTTCCACTGCATTCAAATAGATGATAAATACCAGTGCTGTAGAAATCTCTCAAACATACTGCTACCTCCTCCACAAACTGCCAAGAGAGGCTTTGTAAGAAAAATGAGCTTCATTTTTAGGTATTTTTTAAAATCAGTGCCATAATTACTGACTTGATGTATTTTCTTACTCTTTCCTCCACTGATGCATACCCATCTCCTGGAGGATGCTCCAGTCTCAGTTACATCTGATGTTTCTTCCAAATTTCAGAACCTGTGTCAGTCTGGTAATTAGTTTGAAGACGAGATTAGTTAAATTGGATTGCTTGAATGGATTCCATAATACCCTGGGAAGTCTGATATTTGTAATCAGCTATGTAACTGTTGCTAGGATACTGGAATTGTTTATTTTTTGGAAAAAAGATCTATTAAAATATTTGCCTTTCTAAAGCTACAAATCCAAGATATACAAAAGTTTAGTTGGTCCTATGAACACTTTTTTGGTGCACTCATACATAAGTAATATCTTAACTCTTCACTCAGAACACACGTGGAAAAACTCACAAGAATCTACTAATATATTTATCAGTTACATTCCTAAAAAGAAGCATGTTATAGCTGATGAATATTTACTTCCATGATCTTTTTCCTGTTAGCCTATTTACTCCATATACACAGAAAGCATTGCACACACAGGAGACAAGAAATATCTATTAAGTATCTTAAATTTAGTTTGCACGTCTGACAGTAACAGATCATCCTCTACAGCATAAAAAATATATAACATTAAAATATAAAGGACTCGGTGACGAAGCTTGTACCACCTTAACTAGAACGACTGGACCACATTTCAGTTTTTACCCTCAGGTTCTTCTTCTCAGTTTCCTACCTGTGGCCCCATAAAAAATACTGACTAGTTGTACTCCCTCTCCAGAGCTCAGCTTCAATTACTTTTAGAAGGCTCTCTAATTTTTAATTGTCATTTATCCAAGTTATAATTATTTAATCCTTTAATCTCTTTTCAAAAGTCAACTGTAAGCTCTTCCCTACTATTTTTCTTTTCACAATGTTCAACCACCTCAGCAGTGCCAGACAGACTCCAGCACAGTTGTGATACATGTCGGGAATCATTTTCTAGTGGTAATCATCTAGAGATGTGTCTTCTCAGCTGTCCTTAACAGACTCCTTCAGTTCACTGCATTGCTCTCTACATGGTATTCTAACGGATAAAATTGTGAATTTTACTATGTTTTAGAGACAATGTCCATTTTCTTCATTATTATTTTGCTTCCAATTCCAGTGTACATTTCCTTTGCTTTCATTATCTGATAGAGACTTCGGGGTAGAGAAGCTGGGGGTATGGAGAAGTCTATAAATGATAAAATATAATTAAAGCAATCAGAAGAAAAGACCACGTCATCCCCATGGTTTAATCCTAAACATATTTTCAACTGCCAAGATGTTGGTGAAAGTCTGGTTGCACTGAAATTGATTTCCAAAATCATGATTTAATTCTTTACCTCTGTTTCTCCAATTTTTTTTCCCTGTTGATATCCCAGGTAGTAAAGAATATTTGGTGGGTATTGTGTAGATCAAATTGCTCTCTATTCCTAGCGGGGACTCTTCCCTCTCTTCTAATCTGGCATTTAATCTCTCTCAGCTTCAGCCCTGAGTAACAGCAAATTCAGTTCACTGGGATGCAACAGAGTCCATCAGTGATGAATGTTCTGTTCACATTGTTATGAATCTCCAATAAATCCATTTCATATAA